ATTCCACATTTCAAACTACGGCAAATACATCCTCTCTATCACGTCTATAAATATAACCATTGTTACATGCTTTATTAAGACCATACCACATAAAATCCCGTACAAGTAACTACAACTGCATCTGATGTGGCCAAGGATTTCGACAATAGGATGTGGAAAATGTTGGATTGGTGGCCATTCGAGAGTGTAATATCGGATTGTCAAGCAGTTGGTTCAGTTGCCCATCGAAGTCGTAAACCACGGAACTAGAAAGACCGACAATCGGGACAGGATTTGCGATCAACGCCTTACGGAGGACCATAAGAATTGCGCGTCAAGTAGCGACGATCATCTTTTCATCCTGACAAAACGTCAGCCAAAGGCGCACTCACCTTCTCCCGCAGGCTTCTAGATTATGAAAGCTTGCCAACAATTTTTTCCTTGAAATTATCGTAGTCGACGTTTTGGGAATCGATTTATTGAACTTGGCTCTGCTCAGCCGAAAGGAGACTGTGTTCCATTCCCCGGAAAACATGTGGGAATGACAGCTGAAGATCAACTTGGGAGGAAAAATGAGTCTGTTATCGCTTGAATCTCTTGCTAACGTCAAATTTGTATGCAAATCAGTCGTAAACTCAGAGCGAGAAAAGTTGGAATTCAGGTTGAACAAAACACTGATTGCGCGTCATGCTCTATGCATTGCTGGCGATGAGCTTCAAACAGGGTGAAACCGATGGTGGTCGGCTGGCGGATTTCGGTCGACCTCCTTACAAGGAACAACGCTTGTCGGCAGATTCATACCTTACACGTGCGACCAAAGTATATAATTACCGGGGAAGCCGTTCAAGGCCTATTTGAATCTCCCAATCTAACCTATAAATAACAATGTAGACACACTGGTAGCGGTTTGTTCATGATCGAAGAAAGGTGTGAGGAAAGTTGCAAACAATCCCACCAGTATTGAAAAACAATCTGTATGACTACACGCACCGATAGACGCCTATGGTTCATTTATGCGCTCCTGTTAGAATGGATAGAATAAGGGCTACCCGGTTTGAGGTAGGAACGGAAACGTCGGGAAGTTTTCTGGAAAAAGAAGAAATAGTCACTTCAAGTGAACAATGGAGGGGAAACTCTCAGTGAATTACTACCACTGAAAGGAAGAAGGTCCTTTGCTGCGGAGTTATTTATTAGAAAATGCCAACTGACCGGTTACAGACTATTGGACAGGAAAGCAAAACTCCCATTTGCATCTTATTTTACAAAACTGGACATCCATCTTCTCCTGAACGCGGCTTCTTGAACTTTCCTGGATATTCGTTGACTGTTGCTCAAATCCAAGCAAATGTTACAAAGCGACTCCACGAATCCCGCAAAAGATCTTCCCCTTTCAAAAGACGCAAAGCGAAATTCCAAGAACAACACATACTACTCGCATGCCTCCCCATCAGTAGCACCACCGTTACACCACCATCAAATTACTGATATCTGATCACGGGCAGCTATTTTGCAAGTAACAAAAGACAATCCATGCCCTCCACTTAACTTGACATTAGATTGCAAAATTTCGGTGGCCTGAAGGCTTATCAACTCTATGTGAGTGCACGTTGAGCAGGCACCGGGAACTAGATTATCCGTCAAGTGAAGTGAAATCCAAACTTTGCCTTTCGTGCAGCCAAAGGGTAGACGCGCCCCCTGGATGTGGTTCTTACGAGGGAAGCCAGTCACTCTCCATCCTCTTTGGTAAAAAGACCACATCGCAATCAACTATTTCACTCAACCCATTGCTATACGCAAGCATAACGACCTCTCTATGGTTTGGGTTACGTAGTCAGATTCCAGCCGTCTCTGCAATCGCTAATAGCCTGGATCATACCAAGCCTGACCGGTTCAGAGGTACCCTATGACATCGAATGCGTGCTCTTTACCGGTAACATGACTGGTTCCAATGAGATATGATGCGAATGCGCTTGATTCCGGTTTCTTGTTTCCTTGAATTCTGTCCGACACACACCTTGTCCGAAATATGACGGTCGGCATAAGCAGACTGGTACACGAGAATTTCGTGGTAGAACGGGGCAATTTATCCTTCGGTTGAGAGCTAATAAAGCGACTAGGACTAAAACTCAAGCAAAGATTAGCATGAACTACAACTCTTTGTCCAAAAGAAACTTGTGCGAACACCGTGACTAACACTCACTCTACTCTACTCACTGAATCAACTACCGGGAACAAGGTGCGCTGTGAGGGGCTTGCCTGACCAACATGCAAGCTTGGTTCCCCACCCGTCGATTTTCATCGTCAGAATATTTCATTGTCAAATTATATAAGATGCGCATTCTTCTCGGATGTTTTATTCGACAAGCTTCAGCAGAATTTGATCAATGTTGGAACCATCATTATATTGAACCTCCGAAATAAATTCGGTAGAATTTAACGCCTGGTTTTTATCGAGCCAGAGGTCAGAGCTCAGTGGTTCTAACCCGACCTCTACCTCTCGACTTTACCTGTCTAGGCCTGGGCAACGTGGCAGTAGTCCAACCCTCATGCTTCCTTCGGGTAGCAGTTGGGCACCGAAAGGGTGTTACAGCTGGGCGGTTTTTCATCGGGCGGATAAAGTACCATTCATAAGGTCCACGAAAACTCGGGGCAGGTGACTACATGATTAGTCTTCTTGGGGCTTCTCAGATAGTCTTCACCGCACCTCGAGATGAGGCTTTGAAATTCACCCACTTCATTTGACTTTACTGGTGAAGCACTCAGTCAAACGACCTGTTTTGTCTATTGAGACTCAGAGGCGACGAGAAACCAGACACGTCACCATTTGCTTGAGAGTTTCGGATTTTTGACCCCACGAAAATGACCATTCTGCATTCACCTAGTACGAAAGGTTTTACATGGCCGAGGTTCTCGGCGATCGATCAGACTTTTACCTTGAAACTCCGATGAAATGACATGTACAGGGCAGGATTATTATCAAATCCTCTAAGGGGGTCGATATCTAATAAGACAAAACATCCTGACCTACATCAATCAAGAAATGCTTAGATAGAAAATCACAGTTGAAACTTATGCTACCCTTGGAAGGAGCAACAGTTCAGTTTCATTGGGAACAAAGCTAGAATGCTTCAATGCAGCACAATGAAAAGCTAATTAATTTGCACGAGCAGTGGAAGCTGCACCACACCGAATCCCTGGCATTTCGGCCGAGAGCACGGAAATCGATGATGCTTTATAAAGTCGTCCAACTCCGGAAATTATGATAAAGGCGTCTTCCAGTGATGGACCAGAACATGAATACACCAGATAATCAATAATAGCCATTAGTTGACCAAAATATCTCAACGCACCAGACCAAACAACTGATGCGATCGTTTATCACACTAAATAGTTGTGGTGGCTATCCACAGGAACCATAATGCCAACTATTCACGACAGACCCCGCAAGAGTACCATAGAACCACTAATGGCCTTGATCATAACTGCACTTGGAGTTGACAGGATGTAGTGGTTGCGTCTAGACGAAAGACACTACTCATAAGGCTGTTGAAAACAGTTCGATGGTCCAAGACCGGTTTTGCCTTTCCTGGGGCTCGTCAGATAGGCTAGACACTGGAATCCTTGGATGAAGAAGCCGAAATCGGCGAAATACAATCACTTGCCCTTATCGGGAGACGTGAGTAAATTCCAGTTGAATCTATCATTTATGACGTTCTTCAACTGAACGTGCCTTATGTTTCCATTGCTAAGGAATTCGACATATATGAAACACTACTGTTCGAGTCCTTGATCAGTTTCGCCCTTCTTCGGGCTCTTTCAAATCACAGGAAATTCTATAACTACTCATCTTCCAACCAGATCAGTTTCAACGGAAGACTCAAATGAACCAAACGGTTTTCTTCATCCGTGAGTGGTCGACCTCATCGGAGAAAAATCGTTCAGCTGTAACACCCTTTTGGCGCCTAACTACCACGCCGCCCGAAGGTTGCACGAGGGCTGGGATAATGCCAGGTTGCCCAAGCCTAGACCGGGGAAGTCGAGAGTCAGAGGTCGGGCTCGAACCACGGACCTTCCAGTCCGAAAATCCGCGATCTAACTACAGCCATCTCGCCTCATGGGAAAGCGAATCCAGAATTTACAAGTTTTTTACTTGACTAAAAAACAGTATAAGATGCATCCAAAAAATCCATCGAGTTATCATCTTGTCGCGAACGCTCCTAAAAATAACACGAAACCTGGTCATCTTTCACAAATAAGGGAATTTTGGACAAAATTTCCTCTGACGGCAAACATCTTACCGGGTGAAAACGAGGAACCATCCAGACCTGAATATCACGGAGTCAGTTCACCGGGGTCTTGGACGTCACTGAGCGGCAACACGCGGGTCGAAAATGTAAAGATGACATCACATCAGCACGAACCTAAAGTTGTTAGTTCATCCGGATTAGAACGGGCGCTTTAGGCTTACGGCAAGAATATTGAGTTAGTCTGTGGTGCACACAACAACATGCGGCTAGTCTTTGAGATGCAGGCTCCTGACGGGCGTACTGAATACTGAGAACGTTTCAAAGAGACTCGATTAGTTTATTACTGTTCCCATGAGATAAGTACGACGATAATTTCTTTCCCAAAGGGCCACAGCCTGTCAGCTACCACTCAGCGTAGATTTATCCAAAGTGAAGCCAGGAGGGGTCAAATGCACTCTGTGACGTCATCCCTTTACAGGGATTTCTGTCCGCTGTTTCAATGACAACTGAAGAACAGACCAAGTTCTCCCAAACATAATTAACGATTTTAAGTAACTTGGAAATGGTGGACGTTTGATCCATGGTATTCCTGCAAGTAATCGTTATAGGTATCCAGTCCATCTCCTTACGGAGAACGTTGCCGTGAGAAAAATGATGATCACCCGAGATTGATTGTATACGAAATTGATACGGGTGATGCCTAGTCTTACTTCGAGGCTGGCTCACAAATCAGTTTAGCCAGGTGACCCCACGATTTGACTCATTCATGAGAATAAAGACCGTACCGATCGAATGTACACAAAATGAACGCAGCTAGAAGTGGAATCAGTTGAGGAAAAAATCACAGACAGATATTAAACAGATTGCAGAAGCGAAGTACATCAAGCCCAATGTACGTTAAAGAACAATGATAGTCGTATAAATAATCATACACGCGAAGAGCGTGACAGTGAATTAAAAGACGAAATTAATGCTTTCGCTGAGTTGCAGTTAAGCCGGCTGTTTGATCAAAGCCTGCTCTATCGCCAGAGCATCGTAGTAATCCAAATTGGTGCCCGTCCAGACATCCATGTACTGCTTCTGGTGTATTGGACAAACTATGGACTCGGGTCGAAGTTTCACACCGTCACCATCACGACTGAAATTGTAGTGGCATCGTCGGAGCCAAGACATGCAGACCCGCGCTGACTCTTCCGGCATGAGCAAACCGCCGCTCTTTTTCAAATTTTCAGCCCAAGCCCGACGCTCAGGATCGGCATGACCCACCAGCATTTCGTTGAACATATCCGTGTCCAGCGGCCCTGGGCAATAGTTGAATACAGCTACCGTTGGCCGATCGGTACTTAAGGACTTTAGATACATATGCCGCGCAGCCTTTCCAACACAGTAGTCACTCATCAGAGAACAGGGTTGCATAGCAAACAGGCTGCTCACGTTGAGAACAATCACTGGAGGATGAACCGAACCAAACGGGGCGAAGTAGTTTAGAAACAAACTTGTGATGATCATAGGGGCCAAAAGGTTTGCGCGATAGTAGTCTTCCAGGCTTGCAACCGAGGTACGCTCATCTGCGCGAATAACGGTACTACCTATTGTCGCGGCGTTGTGGACCAACAAATTCCACTGAGCCACTTTTTCCAACTGGTCGACGGGATTCAAATCAAATAATGGCTGCAGTGCGGCACGTGCTGCTTGTTCCGAAATGTTGACCATGTCTAAACCAGGCCTGGAAATCAGCACATTAATCGTGGTCGGTGATTTGGGTGCTTTCGACATGACCACCTAATGGTGGGAAGAAAGAAGGAGAAAAAAACCATGGATACCTTGTAAATTAAACAGAAAGTTTCACATTAGAACATGCGAACACAAATAATGGAGTCACGTCTACTGAGAGAACTGATTTTGGCAGGATGTTCTCTTCTGTGATTGGGAGGAAAATCGAGACATCTGATGACAATAAAATGAAGAAACGTCACATATCTCAAAGGAAAGATGACAATCCCGAGTAGTGTTTTGACAAAGGCGAAATTCCAGCTGACAATACCTTACAAGAGAGTTAAAAAGCTGATTAACTAAGTTGGACAGCCATCAAAAATGTTTCGGGGAACCGCAGAATTGTCGCATCATACCGTACAAACCCATCCTTTAACCCTCAGAATACTAGTATGGTTATCAAGCCCTTGGGTACAAGTAGCACTCAACAGCTACTTATCAATGCACTGGATTGAATTCGTTGTTAAAACGGTATAACTCACGTGAACCCAGTATGTCATCGTGAGTTAATCGCAACAGGTTAACCTAGAATGACGGGTACCCGGTGTTCAAATTCCGGCGCGACCAAGTATATGCACTACCGGTGAAATTCGAGTTTATAATTCCGCGTGTTTGATAACGAATCATCAGAATAATCGTGCTAGGATGGGATGAGGGGTGATATTAATGTGAATAAGCCAAACGAGGTCTCGAACGTCAGTAAGTCGAACATTTAGCTACCAGGGTTCGTGGCAGATTTGGACATCCTTATATGAGCAACTCTCTCTGGGGGCACAGAGAGTTGAAGAGGACTTCCTTTGCCAAATGCCCTGACGAAGATGCTTCATTCAAACGATTGTTTGTTTTTGGGTAAAATCGATTTTCGAGGTTGCGGACAACTCCATCTAAGGAGGGGTCACTAAGTGTACTGAGCACGGAGCACATTAATTTAGACACAAGCAGAAACGGAAACGAAGTGATGAGTAATGTTATGTGATTGTTAGTTAGTTGGGAACTAGAGCTGGCTTCCGTGCAATAGTCAAAACCTTGTTCGGAACAGAGATGCAAAACGTGTGGATCATACAGATGGAGGAACCTTACAAAGTCAGTCGACGAGGACTAATTACATGATAGAGAAATGAAGTTACTACCATACCAAACATTTGTGTAACATTTGCCGCGATCGGGATCAGTTCTCCGGAGAGAAGTTAGACATCGTCCTTCCCTATGGTGACTCTGGCATCGATAGAATTAGTGCGCTGAGATACCACCTTGAGGTAATGGTCGGGCCTGAACGTTGCTATGTCACAGCAAGTTGTACTACCAAACAATCATTCATCAAGATTCAACTACGAGGGGAAGATCAAAGGGAAACGGGTATAGAAATAGCAGCAAGCGTTTGTACCCTGATAATACAAGGCGGTAAGTTCAATTCGCGCAGCCTTGTGTGATTGAAGGGTTGAGGGCGACAAACAGATGGATTTCAATAACACGTTTGATTCAGTTGATCGATCTGTGCGCTTGAACATGCCTGTCAGAATGTCTATCAAGGTAATATGTCGTCAGGCCTCCGGGCTTGTGAGACTATATGGGGAGCTCTTCAAAATCTTCCGTACACAAAGTGATGTTCGATAAGGACCCCAACTGTCTGCATCGAAAGCAAGTAGTAGCATTAAGAGTGAGACATCTGTGCTCCACTGTTTGCAATCTTGGGTTAGGTCACGATCCGTAACCAAACAAGCTGGAAAACTGAGTCAATGAATCCAAATAAGGACTACAAGAGAAGCCTTAAAAACTCGGCTCTGTGAAAAGAGATTTTGATGTGAGGCTACAGGAAAGATCCTGGGAAAAGATCGTGCAGTCTCTTACTACCTTCAGGGTGAAACTTTGGACCAAAGAATCCACGCGTGATAACCCAAAAGACGTTTCGCAGGTTACGGCAACCGGGAGGTATCATTCTTCACTAACCCTTCTCCTACCGGCGACCAGACGTTGTTAGGTCAAGCTACTCACAGCTATCTGACATCTAGTTACATTCCTATAGGATCCACTCCTCTTAATTCATGCCGAGACCCGTACCAATGAGAAGTTGCCCAACCTGCAATCTATCACTATTGAACGCATGGTTCAGTGTTCTGGACTTTTGCTTTCAATGTGCAACATCCGTCGGGGGCCCGAATCACCGCGGTTTTCATATTGATGCTGGGTAACGGACCCGCCAACGAAATTTCACTGAGACAGCACGCAGGAAAAAATGCAATAGGACGCTATGTAAGTTCAGAATCCCCGAGTATGATACGTGATGTCATACCTGCTGACTGTAAGTTAGTCAGCTGAGCGATTAAGTGTCAGTCAAATGAAGTGGCTGAAGAATCGTCGAGTGCAAAAGAGCAGAACCCAACCGACATAATATGCAGGCTCACCTGCTCCTTTGTTCGATTCAAAGCTTCCAGATCACGGGCCATGAGCAGCATATTTATTGAGCGCGCAGCACCAGGCTCCTTCGACAGGGCTTCCGTTAACTTCAGACAAAGTGCACGCCCGAACCCTCGACTCGCCCCGGTCACCACTACATTGCAATCTGAATTTGCCCATGGAGACTCAATTTGATCTTCCCTTTGACAAGAACAATCGGACATTGAAGACAAACGGGCTGCAAAAATGTAAAAAAAACGTAGGACAGCGTGAAGCTGCAAGGTAACAGCCGCATTTGTTGCTGTAAGTTAGTTGGTTGGTCAGTTTGTTTTCATGTAACCCTTTTTTCTGGTCAACCACCGTGACAATGTTTCAAAGTACAAGTCTTCTACTGGAGTATGTGTTAGGCGGATAAACTTGAAATAACGTTTAGGAAGGATACCATATCCTTAAATCAATGGGGTCCCTTGCAGGATCGCAGGACCCGAAGGCTCTGAGACTCATTTGACAAAGTGAGTTATGCTTATACATCGTATTGATAAAGAAATGGATCATTCGCCGAGTTATATGCACTTACCCGGCGCAAGTGCGCACGTGCAAATGGACGACGCACGACAACAAGTGCTTTTACAGCAAATTGTACTTTGTAAACTCTCCAGACAGGGCATATAATTGCAGCACGCATAGTGTTGTTGAATTACCCATTATAGTGACACTTATGCATTGCAGCGACACTGGTGGGGAAAAAACGAAAGTTGTACACAGTTTTTACCATTTATTCACTTACATGAGACACATGTCCCAGAAAGGCATAGACAATACCTTATAGGTCACATTAACCTTGTGCTGTGGGTGCCCCACTGGCTTGATGTTTCCTGCTCCAGTCAGTCAAACGAAATATGCAACTGTAATTAATTGGGTAACTTCTGGAGAAACTAACCGTAACTTGATCAAAGTGCGCAGATTTCTGAGACGAGGACTGTTATATTTGAAAACATTCGGTTTTTTATTACGAAAGATCCTGTTGTGTTGCACACTCACTTTAACTTCGAACAGGGATGCCATATTGCTCCCTTACGACGGGAAAACCGCCGAAACGCAACTTCAGTGGTGGATTAGAGTTTACACCTCATGAACTAGCAGAATTCTGCTGAATGATTACATCACCTGTGTTCCGGTATCTTATTGGGACTAGAGGTCACGTCAGCCAAGAACTCATCCAATTTGTCGGCGAACCAAAAGCAAAAATTTCAGGTTTACAAAAGAGATGTTATTCTTAACTGAGCATTTATTTGACGAGTTGGTTGTAAACATCTCAAACATCGCTCACTGGTTGTGTTTGTATTCTTGAATGCTCAAGAAGGAACTGGCTTCCGGAAGGAATTCGGGGTGAGATGGTCCAAGTGGTTAGAGCGCGAAGTTACTGACCAGAAGGTTTGTGGTTCGAGCCCCACCTCTTCCTTACAACTCCTCCTGTCTAGGCTTAGGCAACTTGGCAATATCCCAGCCCCCGTGCAACCTTCGGGTGGCGTGGCAGTTAGGCATCGAAAGGGGGCTACAGATAAAACGTATCTGCTTCTACATTCCTTTGGCTTTCTGAGCTTATTTACGGGAATACGAGTCTCCGAAGGTGTCTGCAAATCGACTTTCTACGGATATGTTGAGGTCAGTAGATTGTTTTAAGGTGATTTAGGAAGAGCACAGCGTAAGCTCCACTAGATTGCCATCTGGTCTCTTTACAACCAAGATCATTTAAACGTTGTGGATGAAATGACCAGTTATTTAGTGATAGTTCCAGATATTCGCTCGTGTCAACCAGGTTCATAACCTTTGGTGGGGCTTCGGGGCTGAAACGTAGCTTCAATGGCTATAGTGGGGGAGGTTCAGCTGTAGCACCCTTTCGGTGCCTAAAAGCCATGCCACCAAAAGAAAGCACGAGGGCTGGGATACTGTCAGGTTGCCCAAGCATAAATAAGTGAAGTGGAGAAGCAGAGGTCGGATTCGAACCACGGGCCTTCCTATTTGTAAACTCGAGCTCTAACCACTTGAGCCAGCTAGTCCCCCCCCACTGCGATAATCGGGAGCAACTTTCGGTTAGTGGACATAAGGTCTTGTACCTCAGCTGTTTGCTTATAAGGGCCTCTGTGAGGCAGCGGTCATCCGAACAATTAGTTAGTTGTAGCACGAAAGTCCAGTGAGAGCTCACTAGGAGCTCTGCTGTCATTCTCTCCCGTTAGAGTAGATTAAGATATATTCACGATCCGTTCAGTTTGTCCTTTGGTGAGATGATGTCATACGACTCAGTGGTTAAGACGTGTATTTACTGACCGGAAGGCCCGTAATTCGAAACCAACCTCCTTACATCGGCTGCCATTGTCTACGCTTGGGCAACCTGACAGTATCTTTTATCATCATCCAGATCATCATCATCATTATCATTACCTCAATTTTCTGGGACGGTCTTCTTCTGCCAGATAGACCCAAATAGGCTAGACAGGCACTGGCTGAGGAATCCACCACCATCCTTGAAAAGAGCAGGTGGAAGGTCATCAAGACCAGCAGAACGATGAAGATTGAGTAGAGAACTACATTCGAAAACTTCTGAGACTGAAGGCGGCTCCATATTTACGTCCACCTTTCTGTTGAAGGCTAGGATTCTGGATTAGAGATAGCAAGTGGTCAGCTGAATTGCTGCTCGAAGCACTGTGCCCTGAGGTCGGAACGCTCTGCTTTGATGCATATCAGGGAGCCATTTTGGTCTCTGTTTATTTCGCTGACAAGAGGTTCCTGAGGACCAATAGAACTAATCAAGGGAACGGCTTGCACACGTTTCCATCCTCCATTTCTTCGGGTTCAACAAGTTTCTCAGTCTGCTGGGACACTGTCTCAGGATGATGCGCCGGGTGGAGTTGTGGTGGCCAGATGGAATCTGTCGCTGTCCAGCAAAGACACGGTCCTACCAGAGATCCAATGCTTGGGTGGGGTTGGCTGGGTTGTAACGCAAACAGACATTCCGGGTTTGAGTAGCACTTTGGATATCTTTTTCTAGTGGTCGTTTGTATCCAACACCGTAACATCCGACAGGCATTCGAGGAGACGGTTTTGATAGTTTCGTTTGACTTCTGGGTCCACTAGCTTCTCAACGGCTAGGCAAAGTGTGCGCGTCTTGCGTACACATGAAGAGCGCAATGAAAAGCAGCAGCGAATAAGTGAATGGTCGGTGTTCCAGGAGCGGCAGGCGGTGATCGACCCTCACAACCGTTCAGCTATAATAAATCGTTCAGGTGTAGCACCCTTTCGGTGTCTAACAGCCATGCCACCCGAAGGATGCACGAGGGCTAAGATACTGCCAGGTTGCCCAAGCCTAGACAGGGGAAGTCGAGTGGCAGAGGTCGAGTTCGAACCACGGACCTTCCGGTCAGTAAATTCACGCTCTAACCACTTGGACCATCTCCCCCCCTCAGCACCGATAGCGGACGGCGATCTGATCTATTTGGATTCGGCGCTAGTTTGTTGGTGAGCACCGCATTGTCAAGTGGTTTCCGTTGTTCCGGAAATTCGTGCTCCAAAGGAACAGTCAGTGATCGGCACACATCTGAAGTAAGCGGTCTCTGTTCCTCGTGCGTCTCGTGTCCAAACCAAGACGACCACCCAATCGGGCCTCAGCAGCGCTTAGTCTACCTACCTGGGCGTTCAAATCATCAGCAACAATAATGATATCTGAGCTTTCAACCTGCTGCAGGAGGGCACCTAAGGCGTCGTAGAAACTGTCCTTGGCAGATTCAGTTGGGGCGTAAGCAGACACAGTAAACAAAGTGCGATGAACCTCACTTCCCCTAGATTGTCTCACAGATGTTACCAAACGAAGCACACAGAGGTGATTATCAACGGGTATCTAATCAAGCAGAGACGTTTCCGATTGTTCGCTCAATAATATATCCACCCCAGCATATCCAGTTGCAGCGGCCTCTGCATCACCAGAGGTGCACAACCGGAACCTGGAAGAGAGCTGGGGAACAGTCAGTTCGATCATAGTACTTGAATCCTGCGTCCATGTTTCTGGCAGACAACATACAGCAATACAGAGGAAATCCAGCGTACAAGCAACAGCCACTTGTTGACCTGTGTGTTTCAATGTGCGAACATCGCAGGTGACTAAGAAGACATGCTTTCAAGGGTCGAAGACAGACTTCAAAGTGTTGAGCGTTGTGACCGGACTCGGGCAGGCAGGAGCTGCAGCAGAGTGTGATTTGAGCAAAACGGCCAGTCCTAGAGCTGGAACCTACGGAGAATGTCTTCAAATTTGGAAGGGGAAGGGTGAAAGACGGAAAACGTGAAGGTGTACGAAGGGAGGCGTCAGTAGTAGCATGTTTTCGCTTACCCGCCCTGCTGTGTGCAGCAAGTAGGGTGACCCGGCTGATGGCACCACGCGACGGCTGATGTGGCATGAGAGTATTGTTAGTTGTGAACGTCATGGTTGTACGAGGGCTGAAATACTGCCAGGGTGCCCATATCTAAACAGAAGGACGATTAGTGTCTTCAACCAAAGCGCTCAAAAACAAAACCTAAGCACAAGGCAGCGGTGTTGGGCTGGAAATGCAAGTACATCACCATTTTTACGGAACTCGTCGCCACACATGTTCCAACACCCATCCTGGGGGGGCAGGAGACTGTGTTCGTCGGACCTCTATCCATGGACCGACCTGGTATGAAAGACTCTGTAAGTGTCGCGCGGACACCGCTCAGTATAGCTCAATGGGTCGCCGAGGTACACAAACCGACACACCACGGTAAGATCCAGTCTCTTCGTGGCGGGTATTTCTTTCCGGGTGGCAACTCTGCTTTGAAAGGATATCATAACAGAGCGATTATTTTTTGAACCTTTCGACGGGGTCCGTAAAATGACAAAACTTGATCGGAGTGCCCCACCCATCACGATTACTGCGGTGTACCAAAAGCTGCAAACAGGTGTCGCAGCTTCGCGACTGTTGAGGTAGCTATCATTTCGAATGTGACAAAAATCCCTGACCACTTTCTGGAAGTATGGTAAGGAGACTGCTCATGGAGCGACCCAGCGAAGTCGACATGCCTGAGACCATGGCTTCTCCAGTTCTCTACAAAGTTGCGATTGCTGACTAAATCATCTCTGTGAGGTTATGCAGCGAAATCAACTAGTTCATTGCCACCATAGACCGGGACATTTGACACAACTGCGAGTGAGAGGTTACATTCGTTTAATGTGAGCGTTCCCGAGTGAAACTTGGATTCTTTGTCGGGTATCCTGGGATGACGACTGGATCTGTCAAGATCTTCGCCTATTATTACAAATGCCCTATATGCTCTTATCGATTGTTTGTATGTACATCCCATCGCATCCACTTCTGTTCTTAGACAAGTAAAACTCTGTTTATCCTCGACAACTCGTTCTCGGACACATTCTAAACCCGGATAGTTCGTCCTGTAAGTGAAGCCAGTCTATGCTGAAAATTCCTCCCCATTGGGAATCATAAGCAGTGCGCATCTCACGAAAATCCGGAGAGTCTCAAACCCGCGACCTCCTGGCAAGTAGTTTGAACACTTAAACGTTCGGCCACGGCGGTCACGAATCCGAGACTCTCTGGAGTTTCGTGAGATGCGCACTGCTTATGATTCTCAATAGGGACGACCAAGGCACCCAGGCCTTGCGTAGGTGGAAAAAGGGTGGCGTAATCTTCCAATTTATATTTAGATTGGTCCGGAGATCTAGCGCTCCCGAGTCAGAAGAAGCTGGACTCTAGAAGTGATTAACGCAGCATACGTATAGGCACTTTGCCCTTGTCCCCGCACACATTATTCGCACCGTATGCATGCACCGTCTTGGCCTACATGTTACTGCGGCACTGACTATGCTTTTCTTGTGCTTCACTTCCAGCGTGTTAGCCGTCAAATGCAAGTTGGTTACACATTCACCACAACTAAAAGGCTGGGCTGTAATCGAACAAGTGTCGAAGATTGTAAGGCAGTGATGCATTATAGATTTGGGCCACAAGTATTATACATTTCGTAGCGCCTCCAGACGCTACGCTCAATAAGTTGGGCTTTGTGTTGCGGTTGGCACTGTACACTAGCCCCTCTTAGAAGCATACCGCCCACGGTGTGTTATGACCTACGTGAACCAGCCGGCCCCAGTGCTGCTATGCATGGGAGCGTGTGGAGGTTGTCGTATATGTGGGTCCGTCAGGCGTGTGTGGTTAAACAGGCTGTTGCTTCTATGGCCTGTAGACGGCTGTTGCTACTAACACGACACAAACATATTTCGAATTTCGGACAGAAACGAGGCACCAAAAGGTCGTGGTAATAGTAATATTCCCTGCAGCAACAATTTTACTGACAGAGACTTTCTGGTAGAGCCACCAACCCGTTAAAGGCATCCTCGCGTGTACCATGGTCGCCAAACACGCAGCAAGCTCGCCATGGAGTGGACGGGATTCTCTTAAGGTAAAGGTTTACGACAATCGGAAACCGGGACGGAAGCAAACAAATCGAAACCATGCAAGGAGAACATTTGGTGACGACGCCACAGGGAACGCGATTACCGCGGAACCACAGAAACAGCTAGCGACCTACGGACGTCCCGGTCATGTGTAGCCTGGGTCCAAATGACGCAGTAAAACAACATGGGTTCGCAATGTGGAGATATTTGCCGACAGAGGGAGGGCCATAAGTTCTTAGCCGCAAGACCTTTGCGATTGGAATAAAACTAATAGGCCGAAATTTTGCATTTTGTTGCGTATGTGCTCCGACCAAATTCACATTAGTCTATGCTCATAGTTTTGCAACTCACCGAATTTATTTGTCCACTGAAGCAATCATACCTCTAGCGGAAAAAGTCTGGTGGAATACTTTCCTAGCATCGCTGATACCCCAGGATGCCTAGATGGAGCTCAAAAGATTGGACTGATACTCTGAGCTCAGTTGTCTGTCTCATTTAGTCCAACAGGGGTAAATTGTAGCTCTCGAAAATACAATTCCATTGTGCTGATACTGAACGCCCCTGAATGGAACGAGCGAAAAAGGGCTCTTGGCTTCCCAGCGTGGCGTAGTACGCTTGCCAGCGCCAGGATTCGTACAAAAACCGTCTACTAGTTCTTTGAACTAGATACTAGAGATGTCGTGGATAACCCTCGGAGGAAGGATATTATACACAGTTACTGCCTGATATGAGAAAAAATTTCGCCCAACGAAAGCGCGCTCTCTTGAAAGACTTCTTACCATACTATCATATCTTATCATACTATGTGTTTGCTGGGTCAACGGTGAAAAAATGTCGGCCCAATCCTTTCAAACAGGGTACAAGTAGTAATTAGGTCTCCTCGGATGCGACGATACCCTGCGGGAAAGAGGTCAATTACCTCGAGATGCGTTTCATAATCCACGGATTTGAAGCCATCAGCCATTTTCGTAACAGCTGGCTGAACACGCTCAATGAAGGTTACGTCCTTCGTGCGTCCTGAGTAGGGAATTTGGTTGACATATTCAAGAAGCGGTCTGACGTAGGCCCCATTGAGTCCTTTATTGATTGGGAGTCCTTGCAAGTACTACGGGAGAAGATGCACGGATTATCCGCAAAGCGGTGAATGCTTTTAGGCCGATAGCACATGGTGCAGTGAGAAGCACATATCTGAAGGGAGCCAGATAACCCAACCTTTTATAGGCATCTATCCTCGTGATGTCCTTTTGTTCATTCTCAGCATACACGACAGTGGCGCTCGTTGAGTCTCCTCGAATGACACACGGACGCACTTTTGTCATTCAGAAAAAAGTGCCAGTCCGAAAGCCACTTGTTTGGAATGTCTACATCAATTCGAAGCTCACTGTTATTTGAAATCTAGGATTTCAAGTCGTCTGAAGAAAGTACACATGGACCCGAAAGAACGTCTTGTAGGTCGTTGACGTAGATCTGCAAAAGGTCCCTAAAAGGGGCCTTGAGGAATTCCAACAAAGGCAGTGCTTATTATGAGGCCTCAGATATGCACGGTAGACCAAATCAATAGCTGACGATTGTCCTTCATTTTCACACAGGTCGTCCACCTGCCAAGCTGATGCCCACATACGTGGTGTGTGGTTGACCCAGTCCACATCTCAGGGAGCCGTTTTCACTCAGCAAGATTTCTGCAGGAAAAATGTATAACCAGTTACGACTCGTGTACATCTCCCACAATATTACTCAAAAGACATTGTAAAACATAGTGACCTAACCATCAAATGCTCAATAAATCTTTTCCACAATCCTATTCAGTGTCCACACTTTAGCCGGAGTCTTACTGTTATGAATGGATGACAATGGGAATGCCGTTTGTACACCAATGATTCGGATATGAGTTTGAGTGATCAGGTGCATTGTTGGACGCAGCAAAGTTAAAGCTATATGGAGGTCTAAGTGGAACAGTGTTTAGCCCTGTTATCAATCGACCGCGTGCGTTATCAAACATGCATCCAGTGATGGAACCGTAGTGTAGATCTTGAGAGTGGGCGGGTACTCTGTGTCGGCCTGCTGATTTAAGGCTCTAGCTCCAAACCCCACTCTACTTTTGCTTCCCAACACAGATTCAGTATGGCCTGGAGGAATCGACGGCTTCGTAGACCTCCTCGTAACTTGTGAACATTCCATACTCAACCGTAGAAGCAGTCTCAAGAACCAAGGGCTCCTTTCTGGGGAACCAATCAGCAAACGTGCTTGCGTTTGCAAACCGATAAATTGTGATCTTTCG